TAAATTAATATATTTTTTTTACATAAATGTAAGCAAAAGTTAATCCATGTTAAAAAAAAAATAGTTATTTCAAACAAAATATTTTTAAATCATTTTCTAATGAGCAAATACTATTTCTATTTAATAAGCATTGATATTTTTAAATAACTTCCTATATGCAAAGATTATTTATTGGTATTTATTTTTTTAAAACAATTTCCTCTAAAAGAGTATATTTTATAGGTATTGAATTTTTAAATAATTTCCTACATGCAATCATTATTTACAGATTATTGATATTTATATTATTTAATAAATTTCTCCAAAAGAGTATTTTAATTTTATAGGTATTTCTGTTTTTAAATTATTTTCTAATATGAAAAGAGTACATTTTATAGTTAGAATTTTAAATCATTTCCTAATATGTAAAAAGCATTTATATTTTATAGGAAGTTATATTTTTAAATAATTTCTTTTATGCAAAGATTATTCATATTTTAGTGGCATTTTTGTTTTTCAATAATTTTCTAATATGCAAACATTATTTACAGATTATTGGTATTTATATTATTTAATAAATTTCTCCAAAAGAGTATTTTAATTTTATAGGTATTTCTGTTTTTAAATTATTTTCTAATATGAAAAGAGTATTTACATTTTATAGTTAGAATTTTAAATCATTTCCTAATATGTAAAAAGCATTTATATTTTATAGGAAGTTATATTTTTAAATAATTTCTTTTATGCAAAGATTATTTATATTTTAGTGGCATTTTTGTTTTTCAATCATTTTCTAATATGCAAAGATTATTTGCATTTTATAGGTATTTAAATGTTTAAATCCTTTTCTAATATGCAAGGGGAATTCATACATTAATAGCTAATCTTCCTCTTTTGTAATTCAATGCACTAAAGCGTTACTCAAAAAAATTCTTCATAAAATACTTTCCTTGATTCAAATATTTATCAGTAATACAAATATATAATTTCATAAGGAAAATAATAGTAATTGATTAAAATTTTTAGTGTCTTTCATTTCTGATGAAGCTTCCTTTGGCTGAATGCCTTGGGTCACCCCTCCCCTCTTAGCTCATCAACATCAATGCCCATTATCAAGTTGGAATGTTTTGGCCTTGACAAAAATGGTAACAATTTGGCAATGACATTATAATTGTCCCACTTTTTAATATTAGTATTATTAGTTTTTAAATATAAAAAGAAAAGCTATTGGCAATCAAGTCTCATTTGTTAGTAGGGGAGAAAAAAATTAAAAAAAACATAGGGCTAGTTCAATCGCTTGGATAGCTATGCAAAATGAAGAATAATTAGGTCGATAAACTGTGAGCGATTATTTAAAGAATCAGTCCGAGGTTTTTTGAGATAAAGGATGAAGGTGGTCATTTCCGGATGTGCACAACTGGTTGTCTTCGGATGGGATTAAATAAACTAAATTTCTCCTTCGTAACGGGCAATTCAGAAACAAAAATTTATTCATTTGATGTTATCATCTCATCAATTTATATCTCCATAAATTTGGATGCCACGGATAAGTCGAGTTTATTATTTGCAGAGGGCAGTAATGGCTTATAAAAAAAGCTTGTGAATTTTAATGCATAATTTCTTTTTAAATAAAATATATACGCAAGTTGAAGTATAGAAAAATCATGGAAAATAATAAAGATTGATGAAAAGAAGAGAAGAGAAATTTATTAAAATAAAATATGTTTTGAAAATATTTAAACGATTATTTCCGTCCACTATTATATCCGAAAAAATATTTTTGCGGATATAATCGTGTGAGCTGACGATGAGAATATATCTTTTCCTTCTTTTGTTTTCCGGCGGCTTTTTAATAATTAAAAAAAATAAAAAAATTTTAAATATTTTTAAAAACATCTCATTTAAAATTTATTAACCCCTTAACGATCGGTTAATTTTCAAGAAAACGGTCATAAAAATGCCTATTTTTTTCGCTTTTGTATTTGTATTACGTATTTGATTAGTGCTGCAACTAGTTTAAAATAAACTAACTATCTACAATTACCTTAAAAATATCCCGGTACTGCCATCAGGTGTGTAAAATGAGAAATAAAATGCTTTCCGAGCAAAAGAAATGAATTAGTTTTATTCTTATCGGCGCGTTACTACTGAACTCTCCAGCCCGTCAATATCACGGGAGCGAGAAATAGCGGGCGAAATCTCACCCCGTTATTTTCACGGGAACGAGAAGGAGGAAGAAAAATTATTAAAATGAATTATTAATAATTTATTAAAATATATTTTGAAATTTATTAAAATAAATTATGTTTTGAAAATATTTGAACGATTATAGCCGTCCACGATTGAATCGCAAAAATATGTTTGCGAATATAATCGAGTGAGCTGATCATCATGTCACCTTTATATCTTTTCTTTCTTTTGCTTTCCGGCGGCTTTTTAATAATTTTTTTTCAATAAATTTTTTTTAAATATTCGCACTGATTTTGTATTTGTATGATCTGTAAGCGTTTTGATAGCTTACAACAATTTCACAAAACTTAAAACGAACTTTAGCCCTGATACAAAAGTCGGAGGTAAGCCTATTTATTGAAGCAAACATAATCATTACTTTCCCCTTTCGCGAATGTGTTCTTGGATATGGTTGGATGATTCATTTCATTACAATTTTCACGATCGAAACCATAAATTGAAACATAAAAGTAAAACCGATTGCTTTTTAATCACGAGTATAAATATAAGTTTGTGGAAATGTGCGGAATATAGGTTGAAAGCCGTGACCTTCAAATTTATAAAAAACAAATCACTTGTAAGATGGATTACGCCATATGTTATTATAAAATCCTCATAACAAATTTTCAGATTAGGTAAATTCTAATTTCTGGGATACAATTACTTCGAATATTTGGGAACGTGTTTCAATAAACATATATCAGAACCTTTTAAAAAATTTCGTAATATTATGCTTTTTAATTAACTTAAAAGAGCATTTTAATTTCCTTAAGAGGAACTGATGAAATGATAAGTTTAATTCAAAAATTAATATGCGTGAGTCAATTTTCCTTTCAATTTGATAATGATGCAGGTTTTGACGTAACTACGGCACGAAGAAAAATAAATATTCAAATCATTAATGTCTTTTTTTAAAAATTGCAATTAAGAACATTACATTTTATTTTCAATATTATTTTTATTGTATTTAGTGTCTAGACTTTCCAGGTGTTTAGGAAAATCTCCCATCACGTGATCGAATTTATATAAAAATTTAGAAAATTATTTAACTGAAGCTTGACAACGATTTTTCAAAAAGTTTCAACACGAAATATCGCGAATTCTGTTTCTTACGGAAAATACTGAATATACGATGATTATCTTAAACAATAGCATATTAAATTAGAATAGAATTCGTATTCTTAATAGAAATATAAGCAAGATAACTAATGTCCTACAAAAGGAATAGAAAAGAAATAATAGCAGTAATAGGTCTTAACTAATGCTGTTATTTCATTGTGTGGCTCGATAATTTTTTATTTATTCGTGAAAAATGGAAAATATTTTCAGTGGAAAATATAATTTGTTTATTAATAGAATATGAAATGAAAACTGTAAAGTCATTTTTTTAAATCTAAAAATTGAATCAGGCAAAAAAAAAAAGAAAAAAAAAGAAAAGGGTTACTTATTCTCTACACCAGTGTTTCCCAAACTTATGGCCTTAGTGTACCCTTTCTAAATTTTTGGTAACGCTGTGTACCACTAATAAAAAAATGAATCTATTAAATGAATGTATACTATAAAAAAATTGAACTGAAGTTAAAAATCACAATGTGGCTGTGGATACCAGTAATTATTAACTGTTAATTCTGCAAAAAATAGCCAATAGAAAAATACGTAATCGTTAATTTTCATAACTAACTTTAATTTTAAACAAAAAATTTTGAAATTTTCGTTTGTTGCAACATATTTTGCATAAGAACGCGCCCCCCCCCCCCCTAAACTGGTCCCGTACCCCTGGGGGTAAGCGTACCACACTTTAGGAAACACTGCTCTACACCACAGTGTTTCCCAAACTTATGACTTTAGTGTACCCTTTCTAAAATTTTAGTAACGCTGTGTACCACCAATAAAAAATGAATGCATTTTTTACTATAAAAAATTTCATAAAATCTAGAATTACAACTGGCTGTTGACACCACTAATTATTAATTGTTAACTCTGCAAAAATACGTAATTGTAAATTTTTATGGCTAGCTTTGTTTTTAAATAAAATATTTTGAAATTTTCGCTTGCTGCAAGGTATTTCGCATAAGAAAGCGTACCCCCTTTAAACTGTTCCCGTACCCCTGTGGGTACGCGTACCACACTTTGGGAAACACTGCTCTGCACTATAAGTTATGTTTCCTTATTATTTTTTGTGCTCAAACACAAAAAAAGCTCTTGAAAAACGACCATTTTTTTATTGCCCTTATGGATAAAAATAAAGTTTTGGAAAACACAATTAATGAAACAAAATTCAAGCCGAGCAAAAATTTAAACTAAATTTAATTTTATTCATGTCGTAGATTAAATTTATTTCATTTTAAAACAGTCGTTGAACGGCCGACCCAATTTTGTGTTTATGACTACCACTGTTCAAAGCCGTTGCCTTGTAGTTTTGAACCCAATCCAGAAGACAAGGGAACTCCTGGATCAAGAATTGGGAGAAATTTGCCTTCGTGAAGAACTTTTTGATAGCACTAACCGCATTTGCTTAACTTAGAGAGGAAAACCTTCCACGGTTAGTCTGACTTCAAAGGGACTCTAACACATGACCAGCCTATACTACGTTTCACCTTAAGTTGGCACTGCAGGGAAGGGTAGGAAATGTAATACTCCGCCTTTGAAAAGTAGTTCTTCGCTATTTTGGAATTAATTGCAGTTTAAATGCGCGTACAAATATAAATAAATGTTGTACAGTAAGAAAAGTTTATCTTGAAACATGCATTAGAAGTTTTTCGTGTTTAATTGTATTTAACTTATAAATATACCTTCTCAGTAAAGCGACTTTTCCTTCTCAGCGACTTTTAAATATTATCTGAAATACAAATTCCATAGTATAAGTGTGCAAATCCGTCAGTTATAAACTAATAAAATGTATAGGAATTGAAATAATTTAAAAAAAGACACAAAATTTGAATCATTAATTTTTTTAAACATCGAATGGTTAATTTAAACCAATCAATATTTTAATTATTATTTTTGAAATACAAAGCCAAAAAAGCTGAGAAATTCTTTCTATTATGCAGAAAATATTAAGATATTTCAGTATCTGACAAAATATTTCGAGACTAACTAATTCTACTATACTTAAATAACTAATTATGCGGATTTTTCTCTTAAGTCTCCTTTCACCCGCAAAGATCTTGAAAAGTAAAGGAAGGTTCTGATATTTTAAAATTCGTATTTTCTTTTGAAGAAATGTGCCTAACCACCCAAGTAGAATTTCTCATGATGAGAAATTGTGGATTGAATTCAATTTAGGGCGACCCCACAAAGAGTTTACAGAAGGAACTGTCAACTGTTAAAATATTAAATGAATAACATGATAACCACCAGGATAGGTGGTTATCATGTTATTCAAAGAGTTCCTGTTGAGACTAAGAGGGTGGGATATGGCAGCTGAAAACATGGGGGGTGGCGTGCAAGTAGTACGCGCCCCCCATGTTGATAATACTAAAAATCCAAGTTTATACCATTTTTGAGAATTATTTTTTTAGGTAAGTTCTTTTGTCTCTTAGAAGCAAATATATTTCAGAAAAAAATTATTTTCATAGTAAAAAAAAGAACTTTTTGAAAAAAAAATTTGATTTTTTTTATTTATAAAAAAAAAAATAACAGTAAATATTAAAAAAAACATAGGTATGATATTTTTCATGATCAATGATTTCCTGCCTATGTTGACTTTCCCTTCCCCCACAAAACACCAATGAGGGATAAATTAATGTACATTAATAACAACAACAAAAAATAAGTATATAAAAATAAATATTTAAAACAACGTATTTATGCGCATATATGCATTTCTTTTTTTTATTTAAATTTCAGCAAAAAAGAATCTTTTTAAATGCGTTCATTAAAAAATCACAAAATGAAAAAAAAAGAACAGTAAATATTATAAAACATAAGTATGATCTTTTTCATGATCAATAATTTCCTGCCTATGCTGATTTTTCCTTCCCCAACAAAACACCAATGTGGGATAAATTAATGTACATTAATCTACAAAAAATAAGCATATAAAAATAAATATTTGAAACAAATTATTTATGCGCATCTATGCATTTCTTTTTTTTTACTTAGATTGCAGCAAAAAAGAATCTTTTTAAATATATGTCTTTTTTCTGTTGTTTAAAATTTGTTTAGTTAAAAAGTCATAATAAGAAAATCTGCTTTTTAAATACTAATTAAGAAATCAGCTTACAACTAGTATCTTAAAATAATAATTATTAGAAATGCTCTAAAAAATCATGTTCTTTTTCGTATTCTATTCAAAATTTTAGTACGATTCCTGATTTTTTAAAAAAAAAAATCGACGTTTTGCTTTCTTAAACGCCAATACTGGCCACTTTCTCTCCCTTTTTTGCTACCTCATCCCCCAACTGACTTAAAGAGTAACCCAGTTTCCATGACAACGGCTGTAATCCGGTCTACCTGCCTTTCTCTCCAGTGCCAACTTGAGGTGGAATGGACTATACCACTGAGGATAATAAACGCAAATTCTAGTTCCATCAAATAATCCCCCCCGAAGATAGGTTTGTAGCAATTCTTGATCCAAGAGTTCCTCTGTCTTCTGGGTAGGGTTCAAAAGTATGAGACTATGGAATTGAACACTGATAGTCGTAACCCAAATTTTGTCTGCTGCTCTACACTGGTTATCAATCCAAATAAAAATAAAGATGACAAGGAAACTCAATTGCAGTGAAGTAACATCTAACGTAACGCTTTATGAAACTATCAAGGGTTCCCAACCTTTCCCTTGAGACCCCGTAAACCCAAAATTGTAATAAAATAAAATAAGTCTAGTAACTCTGGGCTTATGCTAAACTACCTGAAATAAATCAGGCTAATTGACCACTTAATTCCAATCAGCCCAAAAGTGTGTATTGCAGTAAGCCTAAAAATGTGTCAGGCTTAATAGAAAATGTTAACGACTTTTCCAATCAGCCTGGCGCATTGCAGAATATTGGCAGGTCTTTGGGAAGAGCCGGAAATTAGCCCACGAGGCACACATCCTCGTTTTGGCAAAGAGCCACTGCACGTGTTGAAAAGAGTTGAGCATGACTTTTGAAAATATTCTATCCTCTTTTTCCATGGGATTCCAGCAATCCCAAATATTCTCGAACGTTCTTCAAATTTGAGTCAATGGCACGTCGCCCGCTTTCAGTATGATAGCGAAAAAATAATCTGATCCCCCCCCCCTACAGACTATTCGTGTATGCATTCGTCATCATAATCTTTACCATCTTAACCTTCCATGCAATATCATTATCAAATTTTAAAAAATCATCATAATCTTTACCTTCTTAACCTTCCATAAAATATCATTATCAAATTTTTGAAAAATCATCATAATCTGCACCTTCTTAACCTTCTATACATTTTATCATTATCAATTTTTTTTTAAAAAAAATCATCATAATCTGTACCTTCTTAACCTTCCATACAATATCATTATTAAATTTTTTTAAAAAAAATTGTTTTTGCATAATTTTACATCAGGCGTTAAACAGCCGATGCGTTTTTTGGCTTTGCTTTGGTTTAATATTCAACTCCTTAGCCTTGTACTTTTAACCCAATCCAGAAAATATTGGAGCTCCTAGATCAGTGTTTCCCAAACTTATGACTTTTGTGTACCCTTTCCAAATTTTTCGTAGCGCTATGTACCACTAATTAAAAAATTTATGTATTTTTTACTATAAGAAAATTGCGCAGAAATTGAAAATCACAACTGGCTGTTAACACCACTAATTATTAACTGTTAACTCTGAAAAAAATAGCCAATAGAAAATTACGTAATCGTAAGTTTTCATGGCTAGCTTTGTTTTGTTTTTTTAAAAACTGAAATTTTCGTTTGCTGCAAGATATTTCGTATAAGATCGCGTACCCCCGCTGAACTGTTCCCGTACCCCTGGGGGTACGCGTACCACACTTTACTTTGGGAAACACTGCCGTACGGAATATCCCGTATATAAGAATAAACTTTTCTACTACATCCACCGCTAAGTTATTGATCTGGATTACTTTAAGTCGCATTAAATATACACTCATGCGTTAAAGGCAACAGTTTGAGAATCAGATTCAATTTTAACGATGATTCGAAGATTCAGCAATAATAGATTCCTTTTTGGATAACACTATAACAGTAATTATTCGAGAGCTGTAACATAACAGCTTTTAGTGTAACACATTATTTTGTAACTGNATAATTATTGCTTATCATAAATAATTTAAAAACATAATTATTCTTGATGCGGGATAATTTAGTATTTCCAGCAGTCTCATAATTAACGATAGTAATTTCATATTTTCCACCACTACAAGGATCATACATTCTTTTTTTATTCTCCTTTTTTTAAAGTTTACCGACAGATATAGTTATAACAATAAGAGTTTGCGTGTCAGTAAAAATTAAAATCAAAAATAAGCTGCATGCGGACATTTTTTTTAATTATAAAACTTGATGAATAAATGGTACTAATTCGTTCAAAAGAAACGCGAAGCGTATTATAATACATGCCAAGTATTATAAGTTGGCCTGAAGCAACAGCATCATGCCAGATAATTCTGAATACAATTTATCTTTATTTTGATGAGATGAACTACTAAAAACGGGTTTTGCTTACTCTAATAATGTAAAGCGAACAACAAGAATAAAATATAACAAAAAATTTAAAGAATGGAATTATTTCAGCTTCATTAATTGTGTGGGTATATCTAATTCAATTTTGTGCAGGACGTTCAGTATTCATGTACTGATTGCGTACTTTTTTTCCACCCCGAGCGAAGAACAGGTGTACAGCTAGTTTATAATATGCCAGTAATTGCTCTTGACATGGCATCATTTAATATCTTCTCCCTGTTTTATAATTAGCAGGTGTCATTTAATATTTTAAGTTGATCGTCTTTTATTATAAATCAAACAATATCTTAATATGAGCCGTGATGCTCAGGGGATAGAGTGCTCGCCTTCCAATGAGGTGACCCGGGTTCGAATCCCAACGAGAACTGGTCGATACGAATTCCGCATCCGGCTTGCACCGTCCACAGTGCTGACGTGAAATATCCTCAGTGGTAGGCGGATCATGGGTTAGAATCCCCTTGCCGTAGGGCTAACCGTGGGAGGTTTTCGTGGTTTTGCGCTCCATGTAACGCAAATGCGGGTTAGTTCCATCAAAAAGTTCTCCACGAAGGCAAATTTCTCCCATGAGTTCCCTTGTCTTCTGGATTGGGTTCAAAATTAAAGGCTACGGAGTTAAAGATTAGTAATCGTAAACCCATAAAATTGGGTCGGCTGTTCAATGACGGTTATAGAATAAAATATCTCATAGGATTTTTTAATATTGCGAGTGAGTCAGGGAACGAATGGAACGAGCGAAAAGAAGTAACCAATCAGTGAATGGTAGAATTCGTTAACAATAAATCAGTTGAATCAGCTTATTGTTCAAATAGAAAAATCAGTTAGTAAAAATAAATATAAAAGTTCGTGAACCAATAATTTGTGCAACCGCAGTCAACAAACATACTTTTCTCTCAATTTTTTTTCTTCGTGCCAATACAATACCAATTTGGTATTAATCTTAATTAAAACATAAATGCATGCAAAATCTTGACAAAATAAAGAGCAAAATTGATTTGGCACTTATCCATTTTGCAGACGCAGTCCATGAAATCATCAATAATACAGTAAATTTAACTGTTCTTTTTTTTTTTTTTTAATTAATGTATTTATTTATTTTCTTATATTTAAATAAGTAAATAAAAAGTTCCACTAACAAAAAATAAATAAATAAAATACTTGGATTTACTCCTAAGTAAGCACCATTTTATTTATAACTCTAAAATAACATTAAAAGCTAAACCCATATCGATATTAAATGCTCTAATATTTGCAACAACAAAGGGATTGTAATATATAGACGCTGAAAAAAAAAGGCAGTAATGGACAAAATCGCAGACATAAGTTTTGATTAATAAAATTTTAAATATTTCAGATAAATTCAAATTCAGTCACATATTTCTAACGCACGACCGTAATCCTCATCAGAACAAATACGATCACGTTTTATGTGCTGTGTGACACATTTTTGAATGCAATTTAACTTTTTTTTAATGGCATCATTCAGTCATATAAGAGATTTAATTAGCCACATTAATATCTTTTCAGTGTTTTAAGAGCAATTCCTTTCATTACATGCTAATGAGGAAAAACATATATATAAATTTCACAAAACTTACCTGATAAAGATTGAATTTTGAAAGATTAATCAATATATTAAATAAATCAAATATATCTCCAAATATCTCCTCATTTAAATATTTAATGTTTTTCTACAAATTAAATTACGAAAAAATAACTGTAGTAAATTTACATGGCGAATTTTAAAAATGTGTAAAATATCGGCATTCTTTTATGTAAGATAAAAAGATTAAGCTGCTTAACATATATGATAAAAAGACAAAAGCATGCTTTAAAAAAGATAAAATTACGCAGCTTTTGGGAAAAAATAAACAAAAGAAAAATTACAAAGAATGGCATTTTTTTATAACAAAACAGAAATAAATAATCATTATATATAATTAGAATTTTTAACGATACTTCAAACATTTCAAATATTGGATTTCTAAATTTGTGCAAATAATTGACGTTTATATTCTTGGCATTGACATTTATATCGAATAAAAACTTTGAACAAGAAAAAATAAACTTATTTTAGTAAAAATCAAAAGCATCGTTTTTTTCTCTCCCTTCAAATAAATGAGAATTTTAAAAATTTTCTTCATTTGCTTCGACCATGCTTAAAAATAACTAAATTCATAATTGAATAAATTTAGTTTTGTTAGTGCTTTTTTCTTAATATAAATAGAAAAGTAAACAAAAATTTTAATGTTCAATCAATTCATGATTAAACATTTTTTTAAAATGAAATCAAATTAAATAAAATAAAATGCATGAATTTTGCAAAAAGGATATATTTTTTTCCTTTAATTATTTCTTGGAGATCTTATATCAAATAATGTCAAAAATTATAAATAAATCTTATTACAATTAAAAATTATAAATATTAAAAATTATAAATAATAAACTTACTTCACTGACAAAAGGTACTTTCTTAAAATTCTATGACAAGTTGAATATCCTACAATTGAAATTCTAGAAACGTTCTTTTTAAAAGAAAAAACTTTTATTTATCTTTCTCAATATTTCCAAAAGGCAGTATACTAATTTGGTAGCAATGCTAAGTTTCTTAGTTTATAAGAATTTATCTGGTGAATGCTAAGAATAATCAAGTTGTCCGCCACTTCTATAGGTCGTCCCTTTTTAATAACTACGATGGATACAGCGACCTCTAGTGGATGTGTGCTCAAAACGTTTGTTTATATGTTTTCCTTTCTTCCCATACGTTCACCTTCGCTAGTTTCTCTTTTTCATTCCCTCCCCGCTTAAAGCTCTCTTTCCCCCCTCTCTTCAGTTTTATGCGCTCATCTGCAAGCCGGAAGTAAGTTATGAAGAAATAAAGAATTCTTGATTTTTTTTCTTGATCTCGATTACATGTTTATTTAATATATTTAATTTTAAAGGCTAAATACACAAAACAATGATTTTAAAGGGATCGAAATAAAAACTCTAATGAAGAAGAAGAAAAAAGTTTAAGATATTTAAGAACGAATCATAGGGAGATAACGCGTGAGTGTATAACCGTTTTCTTCTCTTCTTTTTTTTTCTCTTTTTTTTTTCTTCTTCATTTTCCTGTAATTAAACTTAAGGCTTTAAAAAAGTATCATATATGAAATTCGATATACCAGGAATTGTTCAACCGATTTCACTCGAACTTGATAATTTGCCATGTAAAATTACATTCTTTAAAATGACGTAAAAAAAATGTATGCCTTACAATTCAAAATTTTTTCGTCTAGTATTTAATAAAATAGTAATAAATATATACAAAAATTTATTTTTTGCATAGAATTATTTTTGGATAAACGAATTTTATGAGTGCCAGCAAAAATTTTTCAATTCGCTTAAAAAGTTCTAGAGATATAGTGAAATACGCAAAGAGTAAAATTAACATTTAGGAGTTCATACTTCGGACCGCTCCCCAGACCAAACTATTCGGACCATGTTTCCCAGATTGCAGCTATTCCCTAGATTTTGGGGTTCAGAAATCTGAAACCATGGAAAAAAAGGTATGTTTATTCTGAGAAAGTTCGTTTTTGTGTCTGATTTCGTAACTTAAAATATAGTCTGCTTTTATCAATTTTCATGTTTAAGGTCATCCCCTCGAGCTATTAAGATTGAGTCTTAGAACGTTAAGATCCAATCATTAGATCAAAAGTTATTCAGGATGGTCAGTTTTTAATTTTGTGCACTGTACTACATGTGAAGTTTGTATTTCAATTATCTTTAACACCAATGACTTCTTAAAATGTTTTTAATTTTTCAGATATCTTTGAATTTGGACGGAAGGGGCCGAGATAGCCTGGTTGGTAGGGCACTGGACATATGACCAAGTGGTCGTGGGCTCGATTCCCGCCCGCCGAAGACTCCTCGTGTAGTAAATGGTGACTGCCGCACGTTAAATCTTTTGGTTTCACAAAGTCCACCATGTTCTCATAACAAATCAATACCTCTGGGGGTACTGATTCAGGAGCTCCCTTGTCTTCTGCATTGGGATCAAAATTACAAGGATGCGAAGTTGAGCATTGGTAGTCGTAAATCCAGAATTGGGTCGACTGTTCAACGACGGTTATAAAATTTGGATTCGGTTATTATAATGGAAGGATCGTTATAATAGATTCTATCTGTTATTATAATGGAAGGATCGCTACAATAGATTCTTTCGGTTATTATAATGGAATGATCGCTATAATAGATTCTATAATAGAGTTATTATAATGGAAGGATCGTTTTAATCGCTATAATAGATTCTACGGTTATTATAATGGGAGGATCACTATAATAGATTCGTTCGGTTATTATAATGGAAGGATCACTATAATAGATTCTATCGGTTATTATAATGGAAGGATCGCTAAATATAAAAAACAGTTTAGTTTATAATTTATTTATCTAAATGCAATTCGATGCAAAAATAAAAATAAATAATTATTTTTTTATAATTTATTATTATTTTGATTAATCGAGGTCTAAAAATTTTTAGATATGCAAATTTCCACATCAGTTTAAGCGAAATAATTTTAAATGAAAAAAAAAAAAAATTAAGCGAAGTTGGTCGAATAGTTCGTTCTTCAGTTATAATTTTTTTTTAAAAAAAAAGAGCAGCATTTTTAATTTTTCGTCTCTCAAAAATATTTTTAAATTTTTTCTCTTTTCAAATAACGCAGTGTTCGAAAAAGGTAAAAATTTGCAAATTTGATTATAAGAACAAAAGTTATTCAGAATAATATTTTTTTTGGTTCACTGTACAACTAATAATAATAATAATAATAACAAAAAGGTTTTGAGTTTTAATTGTCAATTCAAGATAAAGTTTTGTCCACTTTACGAAATCGTTAAGGGAAAAGGATATCAAGGAAATCCAGTCACCACCGCCCTGACAGCTGACCTGCTTACAAAGGATATATATATATTTTTAAATGTTGCTTAGGAATTAAATAGCAATAAAAGACAAAGGGAAAATAAAAACTTTAAAGCAAACGATTCTTTTTTTAAATTTTTAGTATAAGTTTTCAGAGAAATTGGAACTTTTTTGAATTGTTATTTAATAACAAACAAAAAAAATTCGTTAATTATTGACCTGATGAACAGTGGCATATTTTCATTACTTTAAAATCGCATTAATACTCATCGTCGTGTACGATTAAAGTCATGCTTACTTATTCCTGCTCCATTGAAGGTTCAAGTTTTGAAAAGCTTAAAAAGCAGTGCGCAGTGCGATTTTGATTAATTAAAAACAATCATAAATTTTCTTAATCATAAATTCCGAATGAAACACTGAGGTTATGTTCAGAAGCGTGATATAGCGATAAGACACAAACTCCTCAAGAAGTAATCAAGTTAACGTGTTTTATATACTCGTGAATGGGTATTTTATATTTATAGTGGTAGTTACGCCACATTACACCCATCCAGGATTTTGTCTGTGATAGAATTCGATGAACGAATACCACTAGTTGATTTAGGCTGATTTCTTTTTATATCTAATTGCTCAATATATATATTTTTTTGAAGTTATACTTCTTATGCGACTTCCAACAAGGCTGCGTTAAACGTTTAACGCTACATTTTTATTGGCCAAGGAAATCACGTGGTAGGATCCAGTTTTCCCTCATTCATTTCCATACTGTTTTGGTTCTCACTAGCATAAAAATAATAAAAGTCATAAAAGTATTGTTTTTCTATAAATATTTTTTTAGTTTGCTTTGATACACATATAATTTAATAGGGTAGTATTTTTTATTTTCAAATTTAGGGGATAACAACTGTAAAAAATGAGTGAAAACAATCCCAAGGACAATGCGACGGATTTAAGGTCATGTCAAGGTACGTCTCCTGTGAATATCAATTGATTGTTTCTCTTCTGAAATTACATTATGGCGCATTCACATACATTATTAATACAAATATATTTCCAGGGCGAGACGATGAGGCAACCACAAGCCTTCCACTGGTTGAAGAGGGAAAAATGCACAATACTACCGTGATTACAGAGCACGGAAGCGAGCGGAGCAGGAAAAAGAGTTGTTGAATAGAACTAGTGATCCTTCTACGACTGCTGATTCCTCTACAATTAACGACGCAGGTTGCGAAGTTTAACTTCTTCCGCGCGGAGGGGCTCCACGCACTATTTTTCTGTTTTAATAGCATTTTGCTCATTATTTTTTTTCCCTTCATTTTTGTTTATAGCATTTCGTTCTTTATTTTTTTTTCTTCATAGCATTTCGCTCATTATTTCTTTTTTCAATATAGTTTATTGACCAGGAGACTTCATTTACTTCACCGGATTTTTCTTTTCTTTGAGCAGTATATTTTTTTAAGTAAATGAACTTTTGCCAAATGTGGACCATCCATCATTGTTGGCAAGTTCATATCACGTCCGGATCACCAATGAAGGGGATTTAATTATCGACTATGTCAACCTTCATCTATCAAAAGGTACCTCAAGATAGAATCAAGTTAACATGTTACAAATTCTCTGTTATTTACCAGAGAATTGGTATTTAATATTTATAGTGGTAGTTAAGCCACACCTCCTCTCCTAGTAGACTTAACAATAATTCGGAATTATCGCGTAGGTGATTTTGGCAATAGAACAGCACTACTATAAAGTCTTAAAAATATCTGGCGGACAAAAGCATGAATAAAAAAAAAGCATATAATGATATAAATTAAAAATAAAAGAACGAGGTGATTTATGGAATATCAGAGAGTTGTTAATTTTTGATGAGAATAGTTTTTGTTTTGAATTTAAGGTTCATGCTAACCCGTTACGTGTTTTTCCATTTATTTTGCAAGATTATTGACGATCGAAATGGGCTATAGGTGGCGTAGAGCAGAACTCTCTATCTATGGCAACACTTCGCATGCTTTCACCATTGGCGTGCGGAGAGTCATAGAAGAAGGAAGTACGTTAGTTTCTGTCTTGATTTTTCTAAAGATTAAAATCTTTTAAGTTGGGCAACTATATGGAACTGAAAGCTACATTAAACATAGTTCTAAAAGAAAGCATCATGGAAATTTTCAGAAATATTTTTAACTATTAAAAATGAGAAATTTAGGCCAAAAAAAGAGAGAATTCCTACATCATTCCCCTCCTACAATATTTCAATTTCCCCAAACCCAATGTTGCAATTTTTGTTAAGCCTATCCAACGCAACACTTTGCAAAAAATTCCCTCGGGACATCTTAAGCAAATGCGGTGCTTTATGATACTCTTACCGATTTGGCATACCTTACACTCCAAAACTCTGCGCCATTTAGACATAAAATATGCCAATGTGCTAATAACTATAACTATACACTATAACTAGGGCTGCAAGTTTGTCGCGGGAAAAAAGACCCCAAATTCGCGGAAAAATCGCGGGAAATTTTGAAAATTACACAAATTCTAAACATAAAAAAAAAAAATTATATAGATGATGCAAAAGACAGAAATTGCACAAATAATAAAAAAAAACTTAAAAATACACAACAAAAGTATTTCTTTGAATTTCAAGCAATATTAATATTTTTATTTAAATGAACAGAATTTTGGTACAAAGTATTGTACATTGTCAGATTATTCTAATTTATCCTTCGTCTTTCATCACTTAATACATTTTTATACTTAGAAAACGATCTTTCTGCGTCAACGCTGTTTTTAGGCACGGACAAANAAATGTAAATCAATCATAAATCAGTTCTAGTATATTTCTCATATGAATCA